CTCCGTTAATCTGAAGAGAGCAACGGGCAGGAGAACGAGAAAGCACTAGGCTTTTCGTTTTAGATGCGTCTGCTTCTAAATGTGCTGAATTAAAATTTTCAGATCATTCTTCGCTCATCATCGTTTTGTGTCGCAGCATTCCTCAGGCCGTTAAAATGAAAGAAAACGCTCTGAATGTGGTTGACCACCAAAAGCTGCTCGTTATTACCAACAGCAGCAACTCACCGTAATCACACCATGTCAAGACGATCACTGTTATTGAAACTGAGCAGTACCTGTGCTTGTCTAGTCAAAAGTACTGAATAAATAAACTTTGATCAGTGTGTGTATTCTCTGTTACAGTAATTATGGAAGTCTTCCATTCTTCCAGAACTCACTCAAGAAGGGTTTTGTTCCCAATTACTCGCTGCATGAAACAAATTTCCGGGTTGAGTCAATAGACAGAGTAACTCTCTTTAAAGCAATAATTAAGCGAGTTGTGCTAAGAACAGGATCTCGTGTCGATTGCCTATGAAAATGCTGATCAACAGTCCATGCGAGGTTGTTCGCTATCAATCAAAATGAATTGACAAACAATCTTGAATGAGGCTATCACTGTTACAGTCAATTATACTCTGAGAATGCTACAGGGAGTGTAACGAAACACGCTGGTACAAAATGTCAAAGTCTGTGCTTAGCGCCCTCAGCCATGAACTGGCAGAGCGTCTGCACTTACAAACGATCTGTTTGCGCACCTTTTTCTAAAGAGAACAGAAGATGCCTTGCTGAGGTAGATGCTGCCAGTCTGTAATTTTTCCATCAGTAGCAAATGGATGTAGCAAATGAACAAATGAGGTAAAAAAGGGAGTAGAGAAACAGCGGATATTGTTCTAGTACCCATTTAAAAAATTTCTATAGCTGTTTCCGGAGTTTACGTATGAAATCTTGTATGAGTCACCATTGTACATATTTATCCTCATATGTTGGTGTTTCGTTTTCTTCTCTACCGTTTAAATACTGACTAACGTTTCCATCGTATCTGCAAGTTATGTACATTTCCATGAAAATTTTTTATTTTTTTTCGATCTTTCTACTTCCTTATTCATACGGTAATTTTTCTGAGAATGTGTACACATACTTTTCAGAGCCCCGTAAGCAACCACTGCGAAAGAGCCTTCATGGACTAATAAGAGTGATAAGTCTTTCGACCAACAGATTATCATGAACGCTACGACGTACTACCTCTGATGAATGCTTTGCGCACAGAAGAAACCTCATTAAAACCGTTTCAATTTTCGAACAGTGTCCTTAATTTCGAAACAACGGTTTTAAAATGAGCTTTTTTACAAGAACGTTTCGACGCATCGCCTTTGACTCATTGGAGTTTAAATAAACGCAATTACAAGTTATGATGAATGAAGCTTCAAGTCCAAACTCAAACGTGCTAATAACACGGCGATCAATCGTCGACTGTCTTTGGGGATCATGTATGAAGCAGAATTAATATTTTGTCCATAACGATCTTCTGTCTGTGGTGAGGCGATCGAGCAGCGGCCAAAAGCGATTGTTTCGCTATTAGATTTAGAGATTCGTGTTCGTTGGTTTTGCAAAATGGCTTACAAGCCGTAAAGACAAGCTTTTTTGGTCGCAGGCAATTAGACGAGGATCTTTCTGAATTGTGGTAATGAATTTTATTTATATTTAAACAAACCTTATTCTCGAATAAGTCTTCTAGAAACATCGAGAAGCCATGCGATTAAAAATTATCGCCATTTCCGGTCCTATGCATATTTGATTCATGAGACCGATAAATTGAGCCCTTCAGTGGCGCAGATGATTTACGTAATGGCCGAGATCAAAGTGTTGACAACCGCAAGATTATTTTGATGAATTTTCCTTTGCGAATGCTTAAAAATAAAATCTCTTTGACATACTGCCGTTGCTTGGTCGACAAGGTTTAACGTACGCCACGGAGTTTGGCAAGCAATCTGAACCGTACTTCAGTGTAAACGTATTTTATTAATAGTAAACTTTTTCTGTAGTGGTTAATAAAGTCTATACTGTAGTGTACCAATTTGGTGTATTCACTTCAGGTACAGCCATACGGATGCAGATTCCACCGAACAGAAACGTGTCTAATCAATAAACTTCAGAGTAAACTAATTATTATTTGCGCATTATAACCAGTACCTGTGAAAGTTAACACTCCATATGCAAAAGTACGATTTGATTCTAAGCTACTTAAAACACAATTTTATTCATCACTGTCGATACGGTCCCATCGGTGCCATATGTCCTTGCATAGGCATTGGCGGACCCATTCCCATGCCAACGTTTGGAGGCGGAAACACCGATTGGAAGTAGTTGTTGACAGGGATGTGTTCCGGCTGACGCTTTGGGCAAGGGCAGTACTGCGCATCCATTCCAGGCGGGCCAACCGGACCTTAAAATGTACATCATGCAGTGAACGTATTAATGATACCTTCATGGGGTCTTAAGATTTTTTTATCACAGACACACCTTCCTTTATGCTTAACTAAATGCAATGCCATATCATGTTCTACTTCCTCAGCCACTCAGATGTGACAGCATTTTTTTACTACCTGTTGGACTCATCGACTCGTCACTCCATAGTGGCCTTATGATATTCATGAAATTTTAGCA